AGGGAGGGAGGGAGGGAGGGAGGGTCGGAGCGCATCCTTTTTCTCCTATTGGTTTGGGGTTTTGGGTTTGGCTTTGCTTTAGAGCTTAGGGCTTGAAGTTTGCCTGCAGGGTGTATGGATTTGGGCCTTGGGGTTTAGGGTTTAAGTCCTACGCCTACGCCGTGAGCCTGACAGTGAAGCTTCGCGGTACTATAGCTATCATGAGGAACCCTTGGGAGTATATAAGTATAAAGAGTACTGTTCTAAGTATTGAGGCCCTACATTAAGGGTCTGGGGCTTAACTTTCAAGATTTCAGGGCTGAAGGTCTAGTGAGTCTAGGCTTCATTAAACCCCCAACCCCCAAAACCTAAAACCCAAATGCTGCACCCAAACGCACACAATACTCGGATTTTGGGTTTAGGGTTTAGGGCCTAATACCAGCGGTAACCCTGGGATCACCCGTACGATTCGAGAAAAATTCAACATGGAAGAAGCCTCCTGAGGTGACTTCTTCAGGGGGAAAGCATTGAAGAGCCCGCCGACGAGCTTGTGAAAGCCTCGCAAAGAAGGATTTCTCAGCACGGTTTGGAAAGTGAAGCGTTTTTAGGGTTTGGGACTTCGGGTTCAGTTCCCCTAAACCCTAAACCCTAAACCCTAAATTTAGCGTCTGGCGTTTATGGCAAAGACCTTCACGGCTTTAGGGCTCCCTGGGGCTTGAAGCGTTGGGGAGTTCAAGGGGTCATGGTCTGGCCTTCGGGTTTAGGGTTTAGGGTTTAGGGTTTAGGGTTTAGGGTTTAGGGTTTAGGGTTTAGGGTTTAGGGTGGCAAAGCCCCATAAACCCTGAGCCTAGGCCCTTATAAGAACCCGATATAACCCCGTAGCACCCTGATAAAAACGCGCTCGTGCGTACTTCATTGATCCCTAAACCCCAAACCCTTGACCTCAAACCCAACCCGGGAGTTTGCATCTCGGAACTCAGGGGCCCCCGTTTGGGGAGTGGGAATCCTTCAGTGCCATAGCGCCTCAAAGCCTAAACACAAGAACGAAAACCCCGGAGCTTTGATCCTATTTCTTAAAACCTATTTCTTTAGGTGGCTGGCGGTTCATATCGACCCAGAACCTAGACAACTTTCGCCGAAGACACGAAGAGGATCTTCCACACCAGGCAAATCCTGCGCAGTCAGATGAGGCTTCGAAAAAGACGAAAGACCAAGCTCTTCCTGTCATACCTTAGGGTTTAGGGTTTAGGGTTGAGGTTTTAGGGTTTAGGGTTTAGGATTGAGGGTTGAGGGTTTAGGGTTTAGGGTTGCGGGTTTAGGGTTTAGGGTCAGCTACCTCCAGAGAGACCTGGATGCTGGATGTAAACCGAAAGCCTGACTTTGAGCTCCAAAACACTGGGGCTAAAGGTCGACGGCAAACTCCAAAAAGGCTGACAAATGGACCAAGGAGAATTAACACTGTTCTCCTTGCTTCAGGCTTGTAAGGGGATGAGGAAACCCTACAGACCAAACCCTCAACCGATAACATACCATCATGCTCCAGCTCTTTAGGACGACGTCAGTATCTGACAGTGCGGAAATCAGGTCCACTGGTAGAGCCAGTACTCGAGCGGCACATCCTTCTTTTGTTCGGGAGTCCCTGGCTTTCGGGTGTAGAGTGCAGGCCGGTTGAAACCAGTGGAGCATCTCCAGATACGTACGTGGATGCTCTTAGCAAACATGATACTCAGCATGCTCACCATCAGGAACCGTGAAAAAATCTGGGGTGCAGAGCTCCATGAAGTCATGAAGCCTAAACCTTCACCTGCAATCCAGACAGAAATGGACCAACGGATCCAGAACCCAAAGCCTCTATAAAGTGCACATAGCATGTTGCACAACAAAAATGTGAAGTTTCAGGTGAAAACCGACAGCCAGATTTCACGTTGAACTCTGAGCTGGCTTACGGCTGCAAGTAGCGTCATGCAAGTGAAGTTCTCTACGTGGCTAGAGAATGGGGGTCCCTTTTTAGGTCCCCAAGATAGTATGGCACCCTTGTAAAAGGGAGCCTAAAAGGGATCCTAACTTAGAGAACTACCCTAGTACAACTTACAGAAACCCTAGAGAAACCCTGATTGATCCCTTTGAGGGAGGGACCCCAAAAAGGGACCCTAATTTAGAGAACTACCGTTTATAGTACCTTACAGAAACCCTCTAGAAAACCAGTATGAAGTCCCTTCCAGGAAACCCAAAACGGGACCCTAATTTAGAGAACTACCCGTGTGCCTCCGGGTCGTTGCCCAGAAGGTGCCACAGCGTCTCGAGGTCCTTTAAAAGCACAAATGGAAGACTTCCGAAATCCTATGAGTGTTGGATTTAGGGTTTAGAAGTTTAGGCTTGGCATATGGATGTTGGGTTAGGGCTCTGGTGCTTGGGTTTAGGGTTTAGGTTTTTGGGTGCAAGGTTTGATAGAACAAATAATCGGAACATCAAAGCATCATTACCCTCATGCCGCTCAGCAACAGCGCAGGGCATCCCAGCAGTAACCATCGTAAGTTTGCTTCTCAACTTCCTGGGGTTCACTGCCCTAAACCCAACACCTTATGAAAGTCGTACAAAACCCTTACAGAACCCTTGTAGAACCCGTAAGAAACCTTTGCAACCAATTCTCTGTCCGGCCTGGTACTTCGAGACAATTCCCTTTAGAGCGCAAGCGGTTCCCTCAAATCCTCTGGTTTGCAGGATGCGGATTTGGAACTTGGTTGGGCTGAAGCCATGTCGCACAGGGGCATATGAGAATAGCATAGCGCTACGGAGTATACTCGTATAGTTGTACGATGGAACCCCAGGACCTGCATTGGTGATTATTCACACGCCTAAATGAGGGAACAGAGACGCCATAGATGGATCCCAGGGCATGTGGCCTGCTGCCATCCTAAGCAGTTCCTAAAACCGGACTCTGCGAACTTCACAAACCCTAAACCCGGATCTCTAAATTGAACGCCAAACGCACATACAAGAAGTTCAGGCCTCATTTAGGGCTTCGCTCATGGAAATATAGGGTTTGGGATTTAAGATTTGCGGCTTGGGGGGATTAGGGTTTAGGGTTTTCAAACTATCTTAATTCTGACTGTGGCTGCTGTACCAACGCCCTAGGTCCCGGTTCCAAAAGACGAGTTCTACACACATTTCCTGACAAAGACACCCACTGCAAGCTGCACCACGTCCGAAGCTCGAACATCCCATCTCCTCAGACTTCCATCAGCCTTGTTTTCCAACCCGTGGAACCATCCCCGAGATCCAAACTCTCACAGTCGGAACCTCATACCATAAGCATGAAGCCTAAATCGGGCAACCAACAAGACCTATAAACCTCCAAATCCTGTAAACCCGGACCTACCTAAAGCCGAAACGCCTCTGCTAGGGAGGCAACCACCGACTCCAGAGCGAGCAGGAATGCCTCTCAATGGGAAGGAATGGGACAGCGGAGGCCTTGCGTAATGTAGGTTTCGGGTTTCGGGTTTAGGGTTTAGGGTTTAGGGTTTAGGGGCCTTAATAATTGGAATAAGGTTTTAAGGGCTCTTTACAGTATAATTATAACAAGGAACCCCAAAACCCGGTTCTAATGATTTAGGCCCCTATATTCAGTGCACGTCTCCTTGCCCCGCTCCCGCAAAAGAGCGGCACGGAGCTACCCCCGCAAACTCTAAACCCTAAACCGGACCCTTCAGGGCACCTTGTACGGGGACCCTTCGCGGGAGCCAGGGTTCTACATGGGTAGTTCTCTAAATTAGGGTCCCGTTTAGGGTTTAGGGTTTAGGGTTTAGGGTTTAGGATTTAGGGTTTAGGGTTTAGGGTTTAGGATTTAGGGTTTAGGGTTTAGGGTTTTTATAAGGGTGCCGTACTAGTTTGGGACTTAAAAGGGGGCCCTACTTTAGAAAACTACCAACATGAGGAACGCGAGCATCTAAGAAACCCAAAAGGGGACCTAGAATGAGTTTTTAAGGGTAATGTAGGAGCCTTCATTCACAACCTGTACTATTCTGGTTTAGGGAATGTAGGGGCCTTAATTCATGACCTATACTATTCTGGTTTAGGGTTTACCCGACCGCCTTCTGATTCACCACGGGCAGGTGTGCTTTGAAGGGATCCGCCATCTTCTCTGCCTTGCTCTGGCGCTGTGAGCTTCTCGTGGGCGCAAACGGTTTAGGGTTTAGGGTTCAGGGTCTAGCTTACCCGTAGGCCCCATAGTAGTTCCTTTTTGGGATTCCCTGATAGGATTCTAAATATGAACCCCAAAAAGGAACTACTTTAGGGCCTATGGGTAGGGATGTCGTAGAGAGTTTAGGGTGCAGGGCCTCCTGGTTGCGGGCTCAGGGTTTGGGGGTTTGGTGTTTACGTTGCAGGGTTTACGGTTTAGGGTTCTTCAGGGGTTTGGACCCTTTTCCGGCGTGTGGTTGAGGCTTGACGACTTGGAACTAATGCTGTAGAGTTTCAGGTTTCGGCCAGAGGGATTCAATGTTTGGGGTCGAGGGCTTGTCGTTCTTGCAGGGCGAACCTTACGTTAGCGCATACCATGACCCATGACGTAATATAGTACCACAATATACTGTAACCTTCAACTGAAGCGCGAAAATTAAGGATAAGGGGTTCGGGTCGGGGGTTGATGGTCGTCTGGTGTTCTGGGTGAGGACACTAGGAACTCTTCAAGACCGTGTTCGGGTTTAGGGTTTAGAGGTTTAGGGTTTAGGGTTCTCCTCCAGCAGGCCCTTGTCCCAAACCTCTTCGTTAATCCTACAAAACCATGCCAAACCCTATACAGCTCTTTCAAAAACCCGACCGACTCCTATAAACCCCTATACAATCCTGTAAAACCCTCGATAAGAGCCCAGAAAACCCCGTCCGAAACCCCTCTGAAAACACCCTAAAAGCATCTAAAAGCCACCTCGTCAAATCCCCTGAACCCTAGAACCTCTGCCATCTCCTGAAATCCCTCGAACTGGGGATTGATTTTTAAACCCTAAGCCCTAAACCCGAAACCCTAAACCCGAAAACCTCAACACGAAACCCGAAACCCTAAACCCGAAAACCTGAACACGAAACCCGAAACCCTAAACCCGAAACCCTAAACCCTAACCCGAAAAACCCGAACCCTAAACCCTAAACCCTAAGCCCTAAACCCTAAACCCTAAACCCGAAACCCGAAACCCGAGGCCCTGGCCCGAGCAACTGCCGCTGCGGGATCCTCGGCCCGGCGGTCGCGTTCAAAAAGACCCTGGAAATTTCACAACAAGCTCCAGAAAGTTGAAGACAAAACGAAAGCTCTGACAAAATAGTAATAATGATAATAATACTAATATACTCTGTAGAAATAATAATAACAATAAACATAACAATGACAATAACAATAACAATAA